CACCTCTGGGGTGGGTAAGGCTCACTAAAATCGGGGTAAGAGGATTAGCAGACACAATGACAAATGTGACAGCATCTTCCCCTGTACAGCACCACTCAGTGTGCCTGGCCAACACAGGTGATCTGTCCCTCATTTCATCAATTTACCCTGCTGGACCACACACAAAACAGTATTTCTATAACAAAATAAGCAGAAGATGCAAAGGAAGCACATTTTCAACTTTTTTTTTTACACAGGGGCCCTCTGCTACCTCATTCCCTAAACCAGCTACGTCTGATAGCCAGGAGGAATTTGTGTGTTGACCATGTTGTAGAAAATTAGTATTTGGCAAACCAGTTAAGTAAGGTCTATGCAACAGATCAAAAGTAATGTAAAAATAGTCTGTTTTCAGGCACACCTGCAGAACACCAAAATAGGAGAAATCTTCCAAGTCCTAAGCAACTTAAGTACCTATTAAAAAAAAAGAAAAACAGGCACCAGGTACTGAACCTTCATAATAAAGCACTTCCTGACATTTGCCCAAAGTTGTCTTTCTCAGGATCACAGGAAGTTTTCTTCCATTCGCAGGAACAGCAATCAGATTTCTATCTTCTTGACTAAGCTATATGTTCTAGAAGTATGTATATACTTCAGTACTGCCTTTTCAAAACTTTTACAGCATAAGCATTTAAATGTTGTGTATGATACAAGTAAAAATCACAACATTAACAACTACTTACGAAAGAGACATTCTTAAGAAGGAATTTTCCTGGACCAGTATTAACCTATTTTACATTTTCTTCAGATACGTGTGGAAGAGTAGTCAGGTACTAAGCAGGAAGAAGACATTTCAGACATCTGCAGGCTTGATAAAAGCTCTCGCTGCTGAATCCTTTCCAAATGACAGACTACGTAGCCTTGTCACCTCATTAAAGAGTGGACAAGAAAGGCTTGGGATTCCTCGAACGCCTTGGTTTATGCTCACCATGAAATAAAGCTGCTTGAGAAATTATGGAAATATATATATGCCAACGATCTTCAGCCAGGCAAACTGTGAAGGGAACCAGCTGTGCTATGAGACATTCATTAAAACATATGGATAAATGCTCCCTTTCCACTTCCCTTGCTTTTCCCCTTCACTGGCACTGTAACCTCTTTGAGGCAAACACCTCTGGACAGTTTCTAAAAATCTTTCCAAGAAGACTGTTCTCTGTACGTTTTCCAGGGCAAAAATCAGAAATTGCTGATCAACAACAACAACGATGACAAAAAGACAGACGTGTTTTTTTTTGGTTTTGCTTTAAACAGCAAACTCTAAGAAAGCAACTTCTGTTCCTTGTTTGTCCACAACATACCTCTTCAAGGGAAGAAAATAACAGAAGTCCCCAGGGTGTGTCCAAAGGGGCACTTCACTGATGTCACTGTACAACACACATCAGATGTGGCAATACTGACCATGTAAAACGTATTGTCCTAGTTTATAGCTGTGTGAATCATACGATTCCAACCCTCCAGCACACAGAATGCCAACTTCAATTCCCAATTTCACTAACAACACAATTACAAATAAGCCAAGGTGAATGGGGTGAGTGTAAAACAGTCAAAACTCTCGATGCCATGACATAAAACAGACCACACAGCTCGAACAAGCCGTCCCCTAATACTAGAGGCAGAAGGGAGCAGAGTAAGAAAGAAAATGGATCATGGAGGTCTGTTTACAGTATTAGACTTTGGTCTAAAACATAAGCAGGTAGTCATTTGCCTTCTAAAATAACAACTTTCTGAAAAGTAAGAATTAGGATGTGCTAATCAAATGCTGCTTTATATAATTAATTCATAAGAATAGCAGCTACCACAAGAATCTCTCCTAACTGTCCTTTAATTAGATTTCTAAACCAAAATCCCTGCAGCCATTATATTTCTTTTCCCACAACCATCTTACAAACTTTTTACTTAATTAAGAACACCACGAGTTATTTGAGGTATTTTCTTTGTTAATTTCTTTTTTAAAGTCTTCTCACGTAGTCCCAGATTTATTGCCATCTGCCATGCCAACGTGACCTGCCAGGCATACCACAAGATTTCACAGGGACTTCCACAGAACAGCACTCACCAGGTCAGGGTTCAGCATCGCGCAGATTTGTATCAAATGACGTATTAACAACAAAGATGCTAAGGATGTGAACCGTGTAATACCATATCAATGTGCCTTGCTGACGTTTCAAGCACTGATTTCTCTCCTTCTCAGAAATAAGAGTTCTTCCAGGAAAAAAAAAAAAGAAGGGGGGGGGGGGGGGGGGAACCAAACCAAAACCCCAAACAACAAACCAAGAGCTGTCTGATAATGGGAAAAGGAGAGCATGACAGCAGGGGATAAGGGAGCAGCTCAGGCACAGTAGCACTCCGAGGTACACTTGTCAGAAGCGAATCCCTCCAGCCCTATCAACCTTACAAACTGCTCTTTTTAAACACAGGGATTTTCTGGGGATGACCAGACAGTGCTAACCTAATGGGTGCCCAAGGAACTCCCCAGCAGCAGACTCTCTGCAGAACAGGACAGAGGCTGAATCAGTTATTTATAACTTGGGTTTTCTTTACCTGTTGCCACAATCCACTCAAGATGAAAAAGGGTAGGAAAAAGAGAGGGGCTTCAGAAAGAAAAGTGCCAAAGGAAAGGGAGAAGAATTCTAGGGATCAGACAATACTGAGGAGGCAGAGAATAAAAAGTACAGAGACAATATGGAGAGCTGGAAAGAAATTACAGCAAAAATAAAGCTATAGAGCAAACCAGAGAAACTTGAAAAGAGTGAGGCAGTACCACCAACACCAGAAAGATTTTCAAACATAATTCCCTACTGGGAAAGCAACATAAGAAATCAGTTCAAAAAATTCTAGCACATATTAGATGGGTTCAAGAACATAAAATTAGTACTAGCTTTCCTGGCAGAAATATAATAATAATTTTAAAAAAAAAGCTAAAGGGTGGAAGATGACTATGGGGGAGCTCTATAATGAAAAAAGACAACAACAATAAACCACTCAAGGTGGCTTGGCCCAGTCAGGTGAATGTAGAACATGCACCACGACTAGCATTTTTCACCACAAAAAAGCAGAGTGCAGAATGAGGCAAGAACCTGATATCCCTGGCAATGTCCAGAGTCAGCATCAGACTTGTATGTCCTCAATCCCTTTGGAGCAAATTTCCAGCATATTTTCATAGCTACTTCTAGGAGCAAGATGACACATTTGCTGAACTAGTAAGAGTTATTCCCTGTAAGAATTCCCACATTTCCAAATACAAAAGGTGAAATCAAGCTGAATATACTACTGCACACTTTCCAGCACAGACGTGATCCTGCACAGTAACTGACTGGTATGTGTAAAAACCAAACCACTTACCTATATAGTAAATTAACACTTTGCTTTAGGCATCAACATTTGTAAAGTCCATATGCAACAATATACTGCCTTGTATTGGCAACGTATTTTGTTACTACTCGCACAACACCAACTATGCTTCCCTTTAAACCAGTATGTTTAGGACTAAGTCTGAAAGCTTCCTGTAACTTTTCCTAAGAATACTCATTGGCCCAATAAAGGATGCTAACTTCCACAAAATATACTGTTCCACATATATCTTCAGCCCATCATAGCTACAATATTTCTACCAAAGAGTCACAAAATACCCTCAGAATGAATCCCAACTTGGCAATATTGTTATTTGGGAACAATCTGTTACAGTATTTCTGTGGAATCCTTGGAAAAAGCTTCTTTGTAAATGGCAAGTATCCAAAGCAGAAAGTAGTATTTAAGAAACTTTGGTCTGTCTTCTCACTTCCTTCTCATATTCTGACTTCAGTCCCATCTGTGCATCTATCATTCAGAGCAAAACAAAGAATTACAGTAAGACATTTCACCTGCTCTTTAGGCCAAGTGCCTGCAGGCAGGCCACTGCCTGGTCGAGGTGCAGGCATTGTACAACAAGAAGTCTTCTCAAACCAGGACTCTCATTGGTCTATCTGATAGACAGCGATACAGCAACTCCTTGTACCAGTTTTGAGGGAAATAGCTCATAAGCACTTCAAAAACCTGCTGCTACATCCACAAAAACTCCATGCTGAGTACTTTCAAAGTATTCTGAGGCCTGCAAAAAAAGGAATTCTGCTCTTGGGAGAAGGAAGAACCTGTGTTTGTAGAAGCAACCTGCCCCACTCTCCCTGCGAGAGCGCCTGTGGCGGAGCGGGCACCACATAGGCCAACTTGGGTCACAGACCCTTGGACCACACTAACCACTCAATCCATGGGATGTGTTCCTAGCTCGGAGCCACTTTGTCACTCAAAAGATCAGGTATTAGGGGACAAACTGCTTCTGCTGGAACCCTTAGGGTTTATTTTATCTGTATTTTGTCTGCTATTAACTAAGTTTAAATCAAAACAAAACAAACAAACAAACAAACAAAAAACACCAAACACAACATGCAGTGTTTTAAGCCCAAAAGGTGTTTTGACAGTACTTTGTTATAAACTCGACTTCCTTTAACAGATTTAAACCTCCATTCCCAAAAGTACTTGTATGTTAAGAATACTCCTATTCATGAGGACCCACCCACACTGGGAATAAACTAACTTCTACCTTTATGCCATTAACATCCTTATTAGAGACGCATAAAGCTGCTGAGTGCCATTACACACATTTAAGAGCCGTGCAAACCAATTCAGACACTTTCAAGCACCTGAGCAAACCGCTGTGTGTTTGATAAGCTCTATACCGCGGCAGGTTGAACGAGTTTGCACAGGGACATCCACCCGGTGTCGATGTGGTGGTACCCGACCACGGGAAGCCCGGCACGATCTGGAACCACCACCGTCGGTACACGCCTGTATGTACATACGCACAAACCGCATGCCCGCGCATAGGCACGTTTATTTATATGTTACCATACGCGTGTTTACGCACGCTTTCTAAGCACAGCTCGTTGCCGATGCGTCAGCAGACCGAGACGGCCCGGCGGAACACTCACTGTGAGGGTCGCTCTTCTCCCGGACGCCGTCCACCCGGCCGTCGGGATTGATGCGCAGGAAAAAGCCGCCGTTCTTGCAGTAAAGCCGTTTGGGGTCCTTGAAGTGCCCGGGGGGAAAGGCGCCACTGCCCCCGTCGTCGGGCAGCGCCGGCAGGGTGGTGATGCTCCCCGTCGCCGCCATGCGCCGGGCGCCGGCGGTGCCCCGCCGCCCTGGACCCCCGCCGCCTCCCGCCGCCAGCCCCGGGCGGCCTCGCCCCCTGCCGCGGCTGTCCAGCCTCGCCTCGCCTCGCCTCGCCTCGCCTCGCCTCGCCTCGCCTCGCCGCCGCCCGCCCCGAGCCCTGCCCGGCGCGGCCGAGGGTCCCGTCCCGTCCGGTCTGCGGGAACTGCGCAACGGCGCTGCCGGCCGGCGGGAGGGAGGGAAAGTGAGGAGGGCGGGCGGGCAGAGCTGACCGCGCCAGGGACAGGCTCCCCGGCGGCACCGAGCTGCCCCCGCAGCCGCCCCGCCCCCGGCTGCCCTCCCCCCCGCGCCGGGGGCCGCTCCCTGCCGGTGGCGGGTCGGCGGGAGCGGAGCGGCCCGAAGGGAAGAGAGGGGCCAGCTGCGACCGGGGTCTGACTGAGGAGCCCCGTGTGCGCCGGGCGGCAGCGGGTCCTGGCGCCGGACCGGGCTGTCCCGGGAGCAGAGCGGGGCAGGGAAACCCCAGCAGGAATCGCAGAGCTTCTTTCCGTGAGAGCGCATCGGCTCCCGCCGCCCATCACTCCGGCAGCGCTGGAGACGTGTTGCGACAAAAGTACGATTCAAGGCCGGACATCTTCTCCTCGGGCTTATAAATAACACAGCTGGAGAGTGAGTTTAACCAGAAGTTACGTGGCCTTTGTATCGTACTAAACCGTTTAAATCACAACATAACGAAATGTGTGTTGGCTTGTTAAAATCCACGTGCCCACCGTTTAATTTCTGTGCATTTACTGGAGAGAAACTAGTTCTGCTCCCATGCAACAGCAGCAAACTGATCGACTGGTATCTGTAAAGAGCAACATGTGGAAATTCTGGCACCACCCTTCTAACAACAGCTCTAGTATTTCTAAACCGAATGCGTACGTCGGTTATAAAGCATATTGACCCATCAAATACATTTTGTGCCTAAGGCTGACAAAACGGCAGGAGAAGATCTGTTTTCAAACGCCTACTTTTTGCTCCATCTCATGCCTAACGGGGCTGTTCTCACCTGGATCTTGGGGACCAGTTCGACTTCAAAGGCAGCACAAGCGGCCCTGGATAATCTCAACTGGGACAGCTAACGATGGTCTTTTCACTTCACAATGCCGACACACAGCAACTCGCAGACAGAAACAAACACCAAAGCCAAACACACTGTCTGGAATTTGTAATTTGTAATATTCTTTCTGCTAAATTTTGTTGCCGATCAACTTCCCTTCGCAACTCTGACCCCTTGCAAGTCATAAATTGTAATTTTTAGCAGAATCGGTTGCACTGCTTCCCACACCCTCACTCCAGAGGCTTAATCATGATGAACGGAGTATGCAGATCACACCCCAGCCTAGCCCAGGGCAGAGGCAGGTTCACCCCCTTCAGTCCCCTCGCAGCACCAGGGGCACGGCCAAGTGCCTGCCATCCTTCCCCATGCATGGGGATTTCAGCCCCATTGTTGACGAGCATGCCCCCCCGCTCCTTACCTTCTCCAGCTTCTTGCCGCTCATCCACTTACAGCACTTTCTGCTATTTCTCCCGGAAATCCCACCATGATCACTGAGAGTTTTGGACAGTCACAGCCAACACTGAAGACCCCCCCCCCCTTGTTTCATCTTGCTCTTCTTCTGCAACAGAAGCTGCATTCAGGGCATTTTGTGTCTTTCCACCATAGAGTCTTCCGCAGTACTTGCCTCTTTCTTGGAAGACAGATGAAAGGAAGATAAATGTAAAATGAGGTAGATGAAGGCAGGGGGTGAAAATGCCATTCTTAAACCTGTAAGAGGGTGTTTATTTTTTAAACAACAACAACAACAACAACAAACCAAACCAAAACAAACAAACAAACAAAAAAAACCCCACAACTTTTCTAACAACTAAACATCCATAGTTTCACTCAACCATTTCTGTAACTCTGTCTTCCCCTGCAAGCACAGCAGACTGCTCACAGCCCTCACATATCAAACCCTGAGCACTGGCCTGGGAAATCATGTTTCAGCATCTCATAGGTCAGCACTCCAACTTCTGGAAAGAGGAACATGGCTAACAGGGCAGGAGTGAGCCCCTGAACCCCTGTTTCAATGGGCACAGCCTTGGCCAGCTGGAAGCCCTGTCATTGAGCTGCCTGCAGCTTGAACAAGAGGTTTCACAGAGCAGCACCATGATATTCCCAAGTATTCTGAGCCCTGGTCCCCACAATGGGGCCCAGTGGAATGGTGGCAGTGTGGGTAAGACAATTAGCTCAAACTCCTTATCAAATGATCCTCATGAAAGTGGCTAAGTAAAATTATGGGACTTGAGAGCTCTTTAGAAACTTGACATTGAAGCTTGTATGTGTGAGGCCTAGAAATAAAACAACAGAGCTAGAACAGAAGGTCATATTCCCTAAGTTATCTGCACTTGCCTGAAGATCTGCCAATTTTCTTTTTTTCTTTTTTAAAATACATTTTCCTTTCTCTTCTTCAAATAGAAAACAGACAAGTTTTTGTTTTCTCCATTCTACTTTTCTCTGCACTCCAACTTCTGAATATGGTCATTAGTATTCCTCTTAACATGGACTGAAGCAATTTTGGCAGTTGCATTTTCCTTTCTTGTGTCCCTGACCACGTTATCCCTACCACCACCCCTGCTCAACTCAGATGTTGCACACAATTACACCCATACAGCTACTTCCCCTCCACCCAAACCATAAATTATCCCTGCTTCCAACCCCCTTCCAAGCCTTCTCCTGGCCTGTGTAAAGCATATTCCATGTTAAAATACCTTAAAACCAACCTTCCTTCTACTTCAAAAATAAATCTTATAGACCTCCTCTCTAACCTGTTCCATTAACCTAAATTATCTAGCTTTTTGTGTTTGTCTTGCATTATTTTGTAACTAGCTAGATTTTTTAATAGAGTCATAGCATATCTTGGGTTGGAAGGGACCCATAAGGATTATTAAGTCCAACTCCCTGCTCCTTGCGGGAATTAGCTCACCTCTTAGAGAGAAAAACCTGTTTTATCCACTGATGCTCTGGTACTTTGGGGTTATACTGAACACAGGGCACTTTGTAAACAAAGCAGGCACTCCATTCTGATGGTAGATAACTGGACTATCTGTATGTGCAAACATCACTTTCATTCCATGTATAATTCTGACCTTTCTAGAGACACTCAGTAGCATTGTACTCAGAACATCTGGAAAACGAAACAAACAAAACAAAATACAACCAAACCTAAATTATATAATTAGCCTGATTACAGAAAAACCTTCAACATACAAGACTAATTTTTGAGATATTTCAAATTAGGAGTAACAAACTCCATCAGCTCCATCAGTTTTCAATTTTTAATCCAAAGTGCAAGAATCCAGCCTACAACTTTCACAGGCTTTTCAGCAGTTACTATTACAAATCTTGCCATACAACAACCCCCCCCAAAAGTCAATCCCCTTTCATGAAAGCTGTTTTTAGAGATGTTTCAGCTATATGTCCTTGACAGTTTGCTAGCACTACATCTCCATGCTGTGTTTGGTCACACAATCATGACGATGATGTTTGAAAAGCTAAATTAGTCTGAAGACCTGATTTAATGTAAAAACAAACAAACAAAAAGCCCTTATTTGAAATGTAATTAAAACTACAGGAAAGCACACATCTGTGGCTCATCCATCTTCCCACCATTAAGACACATCAGCAGTTGGTTTGTCTCACTATGGCAGCAGGAAATGCTTCCAACTATTAGAAATGTAACATCAACCCAGGCCTCCAGTCCATCACAGTACTTCTTGATTCTTTGGGCTTCTTGGCTTCCCAGTCCCTCTCTTTGGTGCATATCCAACTAACGATTAGCCCAAGAGAGATGGATAAGCTGTGTTTCTCTTCAAGATTTTCCTGTGTTGTCTAGTGCTCAGCTAGCAGTGGAAAAAAGTCCCTCTCACTTTACCAGCATGTATCAATGTTGAATGCTTCTCACTAAATTCTCAAGATATTCACTTGTCAAAGGAAATGTCCTCCATAGACTTTGGCACTCATGGCCAAATCTTCTGTAAGCATTTTTGACTTCAGTGTTGTGCTAGCAGTCAGGCGACTGGTTATAGGAACGCAGGAGCTGCCAGGCAGCCAGTAACACCCTACTGGGGAGCACCATATCAGAGCTGGGAATAGCCTTCATGTCGTCTGTCCTCACACGGTGCCTCATTCAGGGTAAGCCCCATGCTCTCCAAAATGATATGTGCCAACATGACACCACACAAACCTTATATTCAGCCAAGATTTAGGTAGGCTTCTCTGATAGTGGGTTGCAGTTCTTCTAATTCAGTCTTACTTGCTTAATCCTTAGTGTTAGGGAAGGCTACTTCTCCACCCAATAACCTTACAGGAAGAGAGGCTTGCAAAGTGAGAGAAAGGCAATTTTGTGAAAAACAGAGTTGTACTGGGATTGCAAAGGGGAAAGAGCATTCTCTCTGTTTTTCTTCTAGCTTTCTGGATGTTACAATTTTCTGTTCTACATGTCTCCCGCAGCTTAGAAAAATAAATCACAAGATACACATGATGTGGATTGCCCTTGAATGTGAACCTCAGTGCTCCCTTCAAGAGGAGAATAACCTGGATGTGAGAGAAGGGCTCTTGTGCAGGAAGTCCAGGCAGATATCTGGATGGATGAAATATGGTATCTTAACCTTTCAGTGAATTATTTATCTATGAGATTACATGCTTTGGAATACTACTTAACTTTAGAAACATTTATTTCCTTCAAAGTCTAAGTATGCATTTAAGAATTCAGTAGCCATTTATTTCCCAGAATTCTTAGTTCTTTCACCATCAACCTCTTTCATTAGATATTTATATCCTGAGTTAATATTCATAGGCTCACTCAGGAACTTAAATGCATGTTTCAGCTGCTTTGTATAATGGAAACACACAGCCACAAATCAGTCTATAAGAGCCTGAATTTTCCTTCTAAATAATAGTTACTATAGGAAGCAGGCTCAATTTTTGCTCATCTACTTTTGTAAGTGCAGTTTATGAGAAAAAGTTTCTGTACTTTAAGTATCAATGC